TATTGTTAATAAATTCATTTTTGATTATATATTATATAAATATTAAATCATGTAATATTAATTAACGATATAATAAATAAAAATCTATTTTGTTTTTTCTTTTACTTTCAATAATAATATGCCTTACTAATAGTCACTTATTAATAATATAAGTATTACAAGTGTAACTTGCAATATTTATTAAAAAATATGAATGTTAATAATAACATAATAATAATACAATTATGCTAAAAATTAATGATTTCTTAATATTTCAAATTTCCTACAAAATAATTACATATTAATATATTATTATATCTAATTTCATAAGAAATTATATTTAAAAAAATCACATACCTAATTTTCACATTTTTTTTCTACAGCATTAATTCATTTATTTTTCCATTTAAAGAAATTATTTATATTATTAAAATATTTATGTAGATACATTTACCATTGATTCTATAAAAAATATATAAAAAATTTTAAATATTTTTTTCATATTATTTAATTTATATATATATATTTTTATCATAATATAATTTTATTTAATACCTGGAGCAGGAGACATTTCTTCCTTAGATGTTTCTGCATTACGTTGTAGAATTTTTTTATGAGCATCTTTATGACCATGACAATGTTCACATTCATCATCACTATCTTCAGAACTACTTTCACAGAAACTTCTTGGTTTTTCATAAATACAACAACCTGTATAATAACATATGAATTATATTTATACATTTGTGAATAAATATAATTATTTTTTGTTTGTATTTTGTACATTATGATAAATTGAATGAAATAAATATTTACATTTAGATTTTTTTTTATTCATATGTTCATTATCTACAGTACCCTGAGTCCATTGAACTTTCTTATTTGATCTTGGTTTTCTAAGACATAATCGAACAGTAGGAACATCCTAAAAAAATAAAAACATGTAAAATATTTTCTATCTTTTATATTTATATATATGATATACATGATAAATTGTAAATTTATAATAAAAATGTAGATAGATATATTTCAGAAGATTACTTGTTTTAATGAATATATTTGTTTATGTTAAAAAATTAATATATAGTTACATTAAAAATATATAAGAATATTATTAAAGTTTATATTTAAAAATTCAAATTATTAAATTATTATATTAAATATTAGAATTTAAAATTTTCTTTATATCTTCTTTAAATAATAGCCACTTTTTTATTGCACAATCTTGACTTTCTTTAAAGCTTCTATTTTATCATCAGTATAGTTTAAAATATTTTTTAATATTTCTGTAGTATGTTGACCCATTACAGGAGGTGCAAATCGAACTTTATTTGTAGAATAACTATAAGTTACAGCAGGACCAACAACTTTAATTCTTTTTCCTGTATAATGCTCCATTTCTTGTACCATTTTCATATAGTTTATATGAGGATCTTCAAAAACCTATAAAATTTTTTGTATAAAGACTATTTTTAAACTATTTAACATTAATATTTATAATTTTGTACCTGTTTTATTGTATTTATTGGTCCATATGGGAATGAAGCACCTTCAAAAACAATTGCCCATTCTTTATTAGTTTTTGTTTCAAATTTTTTTCTGAGAATAGATAATAATTCATCTCTATTTTCCACTCTAGTCTTATTATTTTTGTATTTATCTATTTTAGATAATTCTGTTAAATGCATTCTTTTAAGTAAATCTAAAAATTGTGTATCACTTCCAGTTCCTACAGTCATGTAACCATCTTTTGTATGAAAAGCTTCATAAGGTACAATACTTTCATGTTCTGAACCCCAACGTACTGCTTCTTTATTAGCATTTAAATAATTTGATCCTATATTTATTAAACTAGCAACTTGTGTTGCCAATAAATTACATTGAATCCATTGTCCTTTCTTAGTTGTCATTCTTTGATATAATGCAGCTAATATAGCACCATGAGCATATAAACCTGTTGCTAAATCAGTTACTGCTATTCCAACTTTACATGGTGGACCATTTTTTGAACCTGTTATATGTAACAAACCTCCTATGGAAGCAGCAATTACATCATATCCAGGTCTATTTGCATAAGGTCCTTTATATCCATAACCAGTCAAAGAACAATATATTAAATGAGGTGCTACTTTGGAAATATCTTCATATCCTAAACCCATTCTTTTTAATTTCCCTGGTACATAATTTTCTACTAATACATCAGATTTTTTTGCTAACTCATAAATTATATCTTTGCCTTTTTTTAAATCAATACATATACTTTTTTTATTTCTATTAACACTAAGAAAATAAGTTGCTTCTTCAGTTCCTTTTATAAATGGTGGACCCCATTTTCGTGCTTCATCCCCATTATCTGGTTTTTCAATTTTTAAGATCTCAGCACCAAGATCTCCAAGAATCATGGTACAATAAGGTCCGGCAATAATTCGAGTCAAATCCAAAACACGAATTCCGGATAAAGGTGATTTATCATCTTTGATATTTGTACATGTATATCTTCGATTTTTTTTTGTATATATGTTTAGTAAATGTTTTGTTCTTATCCATTTTGAAACAAATAATGTGTACATTGTATATTTTTGATAAAGAATAGTTGTTTTTATAAAAAATATTTATTATTCACAATTATAAATATAAATATCATTTCACTAAATTAATAATTAAAATCACCATAAAATTACACAATGATATTGTTAGAATAACACTTTACACTATTAACACTTGTATTATATCTTTTATATCATAAAAAGTATAAATTATTATGTCAAAATAATGACGCAATCATGATAAAACTAAGCATACCTGAGATGCAGAATCTGTAACATCTGTTTCTGTTTGTATTTGAGTAGCTGATTGTTCAGATGTTACCGATCTCTCCATTTGGAATATATTTTCCACAAAAATGCAAAATAAATAAACAATTTAATATGATTCAATATTGCGGTTATTTCTTGCTGTCATCATTCGCAATTGATGAAAAGGACGCCATATTTAAAATTAATAAAGAACTGTTTATTCTTTGTATTATATTAGAGAGTAGAAAAATGTTTTTTAATTTATGTATTATAAACAATATTATCATTATTACATATATTAATCTATATTACATTTTATTTATATTTATTCATTCATAAAATTATAATTCAAAACACTAAAGATGATCTTAAACATTATATTAAATTCGGAAGTATAACAAAATAATTTATTATGATAAATTATTTATCATTAAATTTAATTGGTTTTAAATATGTATTATAAATATCAACATATATTTGTTTAATATATTTAAATTATTTTCAATAATAGATATGTCACTTGTAATTGTCCGTAAAGACGAACAATTTGCTAAACTGCCGTAAAGTGAATTCTGTATTTCAATGCATTTGTACGATTTCGTATAAATATTTAAGGCCTAATGCTCAGTTTTACACAAAAATATATTTCAAAGTTAATACGGGCAATTAAGGTCTTTTTGATTAATTTAATATTTTTTTAGACTCTATAAATATGGAGGTAAAGTTTAATTTTAATCAAAAGAGGTTATATGATTATTTAAATTTCATTAAATAATTTTAGTATATAGTATGAGTTTAATAATTTTTCTTAATTTTTTAGCCAATTACTAAAGTTCCTTTGCCATTAGAACCCATAAAATCAAATCAGGTAGAAGATAGAAGATTGTGGGTAGGCAATTTAGATTTAAGAATTAATGAGTAAGTATTTACCTCAGATTAATAATTAAATTATACTAATATAATTCTTTAGTATTAGAAAACCACGTAATTTCTTTGTGTAATAAAAAAATCTGAAAAAACTAACTCTTTATCTGTTAACTGGTACCAACTCCTAAAACTCGTCCAAAAACATGGAACAATTGAAAAGTTCGACCTTCTATTTCATCGATCAGGCCCACAAGCTGGTCAACCTAGAGGTTATGCATTTGTTACATATAAAACTATTCAAGATGCTAAAGCAGCTAAAGATGCTTTACATAATTTAAAAGTGGGAGCAAAAAATATTATTGTCAGATGGGCTCATAGTGTAACAGAGGTAATAATTAAAATAATAATGTTAAATATTAATATTTTTTTTTGTTAAAATCTTTAAACATATTAATTAAACAAAAATTTGTTTATTATATTTAATTTTTAAATTAGTAAATTAATATGTATTTATTTTATTTAAGTCTGATATGGATAAGCCAAAGCCAAAAATAGATATACCTGCTCTAGCTGGAGCTAAAAAAGAAGATAAAAGAATAAGGTAAATTTTAATTTATAAATATATAATAATAAAAATAATTTTGACTATTATTAAATATTACTAATTATTTTAATAGTCGTGAAACAGCAATTCAAGCTATAGAAGCAAAATTGAAATTAATGAAAGAATCAGAAGAGGAATTTGAATTAAATAAACCTTTAAATGGATCACCAATAATACATTTATATCAAAAACCAGAAAATCCAAAACCGTCCACATCTACTCGTTATCATAATCGAAGTAATTATTATCACAATAATAAGCCATATAATCGTCATAAACCAAGGAGATAATTTAAAAATTGTTTTTTTTTTTAATTTATAATGTTACAATTAAAAATAATCATTTCATTTATATTATCAATGTTTGTTCCATGACTATAGTTGGAATATTTATATTATTTATATATTCTATTTAAGTAATATCTCTGTATTATGTCAATTTTTTTATTATAAAATCTTATTTTTTAGTTAGTTTTTTAAGTCTTGTTTTCTACTGTCAACATAATTCCTAAGGTGCAACTGCACATTAGATACACAAGTATCTTAATTCACTCAACAACATAATATTTAATATGTACATTAATGTACATGTATTTTCATAATCTATAATATCTTTTTATAATAAACAAATATATACTTTAATATATATTTTATTGTAATGTAAAATATGATAATTTTTTATTTAAAATTAAATATCTAAAAATAAAAAGATATTAAACTTATATAAAACTTAAATAAAAGTGATATTAAATTTTTACTACAATTAGTTTTATTTTAATCATAATACAATTACATAAATAAACAAAATTATGGTTCTTTTAAACTTTTTTTATATTTTCCACGCATGTGATATGGTAAGGGTACTATAGCAGGACATGGTATTTGACCAGGTATTACACATATGCAACTTCTATGACAACCAACACCAAAATTAGCAGAATTATCTTTCTTTTCTTGCATTATATTTTCTTGCTGCAGAATATGCTTTGCTTTACCAATTACGATTTGAAGATGAAATAATATATCTTCTTTAGATTTACTATCTAAATCAATTAACATAGTATTTCCATTTTCTGTAAAAGATTGAAAAAGTATTCTTTTTGATATATCGTTTTATTAATTATTAATATTATCTTATTATCTTATTTAATATTTTTTATATAAATATATATATATAATTTTATAATTCATAGATTTGAAAAACATTGAAAATCATAAATTCAAAATCATATAAATAAAAATAGTATTCAAAATTGCATAAAAAAAGAAAAATTAAATTTTAATTATTACATAAAAAAATATATAATATATAAT